ATTCTTTTTTCTTTTTTTTTCTTTTTTTTCTTCTTTTTTTTTTTTTTTTACACATAACAAGCTCGATCGAACACAACGGTATAAAAAAAGATAAATGATTTCGTTTAAATGATAGGAGAAGAAGAAAAAAAAAAGAAAAGATAAGGAAAGAAAAAAAGAATAAAGTGAACTTGACCTTCGTATGTTCTCTACGTATGTCTTCCGACAAAAAAAAAAAACAAAAAAGAAAAAAAAGGAGAAAGAAAAAAGATGTCGAACACATGTGCATCCTTGGACATTCATAGAACTCTCTTCCTAGAATTTTGTATACATAATATATATATATTATATATATTATATATAGTACCATAAATAATATATATTTGCCATTGAGGATTCGTTGGACGCTCATTTAGATAAAATTTATAAAAAAAAAAAAAAAAAAAAAAAAAAAAGAAGATAAGTAAACACATTGTCCGAGTTCAGATATTTTCAATTTAGATATTTTTAAGTAAATAATATTCTGGAGTGTCTTCAATTGGATAACAAATAAATAAATAAATAAATAAATAAATAAATAAATAAAAAAAAAGTAAATACATTGTCCGAGTTCAGATATTTTCAATTTAGATATTTTTAAGTAAATAATATTCTGGACTATCTTCAATTGGATAACAAATAAATAAATAAATAAATAAATAAATAAATAAATAAATAAATAAATAAATAAATAAATAAATAAATAAATAAGTAAATGAACTATAAGTGATAAAAACATGGGCAAAAAGGGGAGCTGGTATAGTTTTGTCTGGCATTTAAAATTAAAATAATAATTTGTCAATGATTAAATAGTACAGGTCATTTAAATATTAAATACAGGATAACAAATTTGGAATTGTTTAAACATTTTAAATGAATTATTCTTGACAGATCAATGAGCAATAATCACTCCTTCCCTTTTCATGTTTGCTTATACTCCTCTCTCTGTCTTTCTCTCTTCTCCCTCTCTCTTCTCCCTCTCTCTTCTCCCTCCCTCTCTCTCGCCCTTTCCTAATTTTAGTATCGTTTTAGTAGCCCGTTGGAATACGTTCAACCCTTTCATTTCTAACGCCAATTTTAGTTGGCATCTATGTGAGGACTTGTCTGTTTGTCTCTCTTTCTCTCCCTCTCTCCCTCTCTCTCTCTCTCTCTCTCTCTCTCTCTCTCTCTCTCTCTCTCTCTCTCTCTCTCTCTCTCTTTTGTGTGTTCGTGTGTGCGTGTATATGTTCTATATCTATGTGTATACAAAATGTAGACTATAGTCGGCGTTTATTTAACGAGCTGTCGCTACTTAACGGTAACTTTAATCGACGCTCAGTAAGTACCTTGAGTTACTACACTGATTTCACAGCTCCCGTAATAATTATTTTGATTTCTTGTTTCATCGCAAATTAAAGCAACGGCTTTTGTTGTTTTTCTTTTTTCTTTTCTTTTCTTTTCTTTCTTTCTTTCTTTCTTTTTTTTTTGTCTTTTTATCTTTCTCTTGTTTTTATTTTTTTAACAGTTCCGACAAGTACAGCAAGCAAATTTATTGCGATATCGTAATGTATTAATTTTTGATAATGGAAAGAATTGTAATTAAAATTTGTTTTTCCTCGTATTATTGATAGTATCTAAAAAGAAAAGAATAGTAGGAGCGTCGATATGTCTGTTAAAAATTATTTTTTTTTTTTTTTTTTTTTTTGAAAGTAAAAGTTTGCTGTTAATTTTTTTTCGTTTTCTTCCCCCCTTTTATTTTCCTTTCTTAATTGGAAAAAAATATCAAACACGTAAAAATGAGAAATTAATAATATTTCAAATCTTCCTTAAGACTTAAGTTTTTTTTAATAAGTTCTTGTAATACCTATAATAATGTGTAATTGATATTACGTTTAATCGCGAATTGAAACAATGGTTTTTACATTTTTATTGTTTATTTCTTTATTTCTTTATTTCTTTATTTTTTTTTTTTAATTTTTTTTTATCTTTTATTTTTTTACAATGAATATTTTTAATAAAATATCTGTAGGTAATATAAACCGTTCCGATATTGCAACGATCAATAAATGAAGTGTCAGTTATTTAATTAAAATTATTTAATTAAAATATTTCTAAGTATAATAATTCATTGGTATTTTATATAAACATGCTGATCAATATTTATGACAAACATGGACACTGATTAAACGCAATTCTTATGTTTAATTATTTGTACTGATCAATTATATCGATCTATTGATATACTTTATTATAAATACTGTTCAAAATATTTATATATGTATATATATATATATATATATATATAAATATATATTCATCATTTATTTTACAAAATATTTAATTAATAAAAACACTAACCGAATAATTAATAAAGTTGATCTTTTTACTACTTTTTATTCTGTCAAGAAAATATATATAAATAAAAATAAATGAAAATAAATAAAAATAAATAAATAAATAAAAAAAAAAAGAAGAAAGGGAAAGGATAACGTTAAAATATTTGACGCCAAATGTCGTGAACTTTTACAAATTTTTTTTTTCTTTTTTTTTTTTTTTTTGTTTCTTTTTCTTTCTATTCTTTTTCTTCCTATGTGGCTTATCCTTTCGACAAATTCGACGATATGTATACGGTTGTCGACGGTAACTCTAAGTCCTTGAAGTGGTACTTCCGTTGCAGCTCCGTTGGAGCTCGAATTCACGCTTTTGCATACAAACTAACGAGAAAGAAACATATGTCACGAACTCCAGTTTCATCTTCGTTATTTAAAATAAATTGCTTTTTGAATATATATATATATATTTTCCAAGCACAAAATAAAACTTTGGCCATCCATCCATCCCCCCTACCGTGCATCTATCCATCCATCCATCCATCCATCCATCCATCCATCCATCTATCCATCGTGGCTGATGAAAGGCTATGTGAAAACTCGTAAATATATATTTTTTGGTTGAGTTCCATCTACAGTAAAATAATAACGAGTTTTAAAAACTCCTTATAACAAAAGAGTCATTGAAAATTGAATGATTTTTTGAATTGGCATGTTCATTAATCGATTTCAAGTTTCCAAAAAAAAAAAAAAAAAGAAAGAGAAGAAAGAAAGAAAGAAAAAGAAACGATTTGTCAATTTTTTGTTTTTTCGAGATGTACTTTCAAAATATTTTTATTAAGTCATACGTTTTGATTAAAAGTAATTGATACTTTTTCATAGTATATATTATATTGAAAATAATCTATGTATGTCTCGATCTAATTTTGAGTTTTTCTCTTTCTCTCTTTTTTTTTTTTTCTCCTTTCTTTTTCCCCTTTCTTCTTTTTTGCGTTTTGTGAATTTTTCCTGTTTAAAAGGATCGTTCGTTATTCGTTATAATCGACAATGTCAGTTGTTAAATTATTCGCCAAACAATACTACTCGATTAAACAAACGTGTGAATTTAGAAATTTCATTCTCAATTCTGGCTCGTGTAAATCGCTATCATGGATCATATATTCTAATTATAAGTTAGTTAGTTTGGATTTAATCTAAAAGTTGAACAATTAGTCGTGAGGAATTCTCTCTACGTTCCATAACTTATCTCTTAACTTCCGAATTAATTTCGACGAAGCGCGAGACTGCCGTTAGTTTCATGATACATACATACATACATACATAAATACATACATAAATACATACATAAATACATACATAAAATATATATATATATAAATATATATATATATATATATATATATATATATATGTACGTATGTACATGAATATACCGGATGTTCAAAATAAAACGTTACACAAAATTTTTATCTCTGAAAAAAGGTGTATTGTATTTTTTTTTCTTTTTTTTTTCCTTTTTTTCTTCTTTTTTTTTTCAGAAAAATTGCTCAGACAATTGTTATCCGGTTTCAAGGAAGACATGTTGTAGTACTCGTTTTTTTTTCTTTCTTTCTTTTTTTTTTTTTTTTTTTCTTGTTTAATGGAAAGTTTCAAATTTATTTCAAGATCAAACTTTGGTTTTTAATTTATTTATTTATTTTTTTTTTCGCCGAAAAAAATATAATACAAAAAATTAAAAAAAGTGTTTATTACGAGCCAATGAATTTAATTTCAAGGACTGTCTGGGCGCGCTATTGCGTACGAAAAACCGAAGTGTTTAATTAGCGTTTAATTATTATTTCCTACATTCTTCTGACGCAAAATTGCGTGAACGTTAGTCCGAGCGTAAATGTTGGAGTACGTAAATAAAAAATAAAAAATAAAAAATAGAAAAAAAAAAGAAAGAAAAAAAAAAGAATCTAATCGATTAAAATTCCACGAACGTTCGAAAAATTAAAACATTCTTTTCTTTTTTTTTTTATCTTTTGCAACATTTCTCGAAAGCCTACGTGATGGCGTTGTCTATTTTTTTTTCCTTTTTTCCTTTTTTTTTTTTTTTTTCTTTTTTATAAATATTTCGGAAATTTGAATCTGAATACAAAAGAAAAGAAAAAAAATATTCTAAATAAAAGTTACGTATTTCTTTTTTTTTTTTTCTTTCTTTTTTGTAACATGGAATGTTGCGATTACAAAAAATGTAGCTTCCTGTTTGGTGGGAGGCGAAGAAACAAATAAAACGAAACAGAAGTTGACCATGAAATGATCCGAAAACTTTTCTTTAAACAAAACTCAATAAATATCATGATATTTCATAATGTTAACCCGTTGAAATTGGATAACTTTTGTTTGAAAAATTTTTCATTACAATTCCGTGTTTGCGAGATAAAAATGCATAACTTTTCGTTTTAAGTATTCGATATATATAAGGTATATATAATCGTTCGTTCGTTTATTGAAAATAATAATAATAATAATAACAATAATAATAATAATAATAATAATAATAATTATAATAATAATAATAATAAAATAAAATAATACAAAATTAATAATAATAATAATAATAATAATAATAATAATAATAATAATAATATGGATATATATGTATAAAAAAATGTATTTTCTTTGTTTCAGGATTACCATCGGACGTCCCTTAGCAAGAGATAAAAATCAGCTGGTATGTCAAATAATCAGCTGGTTGACTCCTGTCTGTAAGTGTATATCGTTTCCCAAGTTTTATTTTTATTTTTCTTTTTTCTTTTTTCACGATTTTTATTACTATTACTATAATTATTATTATTATTATTATCATTATTATTGTTATTGTTATTATTATTATTATTATTATTATTATTATTATTATTATTATTATTATTATTATTATTAATTTATGTATTATTTTATATATTTATTTATTTATCTATCTATTTATTAATTTATCTGTTTATTTATTTATTTATTTATTTATATTTTTTGTCTAATTACCAAATCGAATTCTTCGCATATGTAGATATCCAATTAAATACCCTTTTAATCAAATTTTCCTTTGGTCGATAATATTGGTCCTTAATTAAACAAAATTTAAATATTTATCGTAATGATCGTAATGATCGTAGAATAATGATCATTTTCATATATTCACGCTTAATCATTAAATTTCTGTCGCCATTCGATCAATCTCTTTTATTTTCATTAACAGAATAATTTTATGTGTAATATTTGTTGCTTTTTTTTTTTGTTTGTTTTTTTAACTCATGCACAAAGTAAACTTGTTAATCATTAATGAGCTTTTCCATTGGGCCCCAATGTTAGAACGAGCATTAGCACGTTGTTTTGATATATTTTAATCGGTGATTATAAATAATAAGATTGTTAATTATTTTTCAATCGATTTAATTATAGATGTAATTAATTATTAATTAAAATGTTAATCCTCTATAACTTCGTGTAAATTTAAATTCATAGATTAATATATAATAAACTCTATATATATATATATTGTTTTTTTAAGTTTTATTGCATTTTTTTTAAACAAAGTTAATTACTACTTTGTATTCGAAAGTTAATATTTATTAAATATGATTTACGTTTGATTAAGTATAATTTATACTAGTATAAATATACTATTATAAACATATTATATATATATATATATATATATATATATATATATATATATATATATATTAGTAATACAAACTTATATACTTAATATATAGTATATTTGTATTAATACGAGTTATACCAATAGTTCTTTCACGTTATATTATTTTTTTTTCTTAAACATAAAAAAAAAAAAGAGAGAAAAAAGAAACTCGAGTTATAGAGGGTTTATAAATAACAATTATTAAAATTTCTTATAATAAAATATGTAAAAATATAAATTTAAAACATTTTAAACATTTTGAATTTTAAATATTTAATCAATTATCGAACGTTATTCCTCTTTGTCGTCTAATGTCATTCGTTCTAGCGACTAATCATAATTCATCAACTCTTTTGATTAATCTTATACAACGGACATATATCGACTCGTTGTTCTTTCATTCTTTCATTCTTTCATAATGTAATACATAACATGAACATATATCGCTTAAATGCAGTGCTGTTTATCATCAATAAAAAAAAAAAAAAAAAGAAAAAAAAAAAACAAATACACAAACAAAGTTGAAAAAATAATGTAAAATTTTGCTATTCGTAAAAATTTATTAAGATAATTTTTATACATTTGATTACGTCGATTATTATATTTGTTCGGATTAGAAAAAAAAGAAAAGAATTGAACGTACGTATAATATATAGAAATAAAGTTATTGATGATAATGGTAATTCTGTTAATTATTCATGTTAGGCTGGTGAATCGCCGGATTGAGCAGAGACAGGAGCACAACATAACGCGCACTGAGATAACGCAGAGGTGACTAATCGCACTTTATAAGAAGTTAATTCCTTTGAAATTGTCTGTGTGTATTAGTGTATGTTATATATATATATATATATATATATATATATATATAAGTACATACATGTATGTATATATCTATCTATCCGTACGTGTACAAATTACGTAATCGATCGATTTAATCTCTTTTGTCATTAGATTTGTTTTTTTTCTTTTTTTTTTTTTTTTTTTTTTTTTACGAAAAATATATCACACCTGAGAGTCGATAAAGTTATGTGTATATATATATTTTTTTTTTATATATAAATAATTTTATATATTATATAAATTCATTTATATAAGTAATTTTTTATATTATCTAAATTTAATATATATATATATATGTACGTTTACATTATATATTTATTATATAAATTATATATATATATATATATATATATACAATATATATATGTATATTTTTTTTTGTATATATATATTGTATATTTATTAACATATCTTACACACATCATTTTCAAAAGGAACAACTTCGTCGCACTAACAACATTTATCCGTTCATTTAGCATGCATCATTTAGCAGAGTGCTGA